TAGGTGGTATGCTCCATCAGTGAGATAATATGTAGCTAAAGTAATGAACTACAGTTAACACAAACCATGGTTTAGTGTGATATATGAATATAGCTGGGGGGGAACAACTTATTTCTCAATTTTCCTTTCATTCACAAGATCATGCCAGCAGATTTTAAAGCTTTGTGGATGATTATTGGGCTGCTAGGAACAAAATAGCACAAGTAACTAGAGCCGAGAAAAGTTAATTTTGGGGCTACTGCCTCCAGAAGGTCTATTTCTAAGCTAACTCTGCAGTATGCATCACATATAAGCCAGGTACTCTGTTAGCATATGTGATTTTTCATAAAATTTTGGACACATGTGGATTTCCCTCTATGACCCCAGACTAACCTCTGAGGGATGTCGGCCATAATCCTCTAGATGGCAGGTCAGGTAGGCCCTGAGAGATCTGCCCAGGACAGCTGGAAAATTCCCTACCAGACAGGTTTGGGAGTTGCCAAAGGGAAAAACCATTCTACTGGTAAAGACACATAATAGTGCTTATTTGTCTTGAGTCTCATACTTAATGGGGCAGTGATCAGATTTGACTGCACCCTTTTCTCTAGCTTCCCTTCCTTGATAGTCTTGAAACCAAATGCATTGTTTAGACCAGAAGTAGGCAACCTTTCCCCTTTAAGAGCTGAGGGACTTCAGCTCCCAGAAGCCTCAGCTATATTGGCCAATAGTCTCATGTTGGCCAATAGCTCCTGGGATTCTGGGAGCTGAAGTCCCTCGGCCCTTAAAGGGGAAAGGTTGCCTATCCCTGGTTTAGACTATTCTCCCACCTAGGTTTAACAAAGCTAAGACTATCAACGCCTTTGTCCCAGATTCAGCCAAGCCATTAGTCAATAGCCAGAAGGTAGAAATTTAAACCCTGAGATTTGTAGGCTCCACGTGCTATCTTGAGAGTGCATGTTGACTCCATATCAGTCTGTGCTCTGATCCTAGCTTCCTCGGCCATCCTTTCCCCCCCTTTTGGTGGCCGTGCATCATCATCATCATCATCATCATCATCATCAACATCCGCAGCGGATCCTGGAGAAGCCTTCGGAAGTGAGTAACTCCCTTAGTCTAGCCCACCTCAAGCTATTCCCGCTTTCACTCCTTTATTCCTAAGAGTGCAGTGTATGTGTATGCTATGTTTGTGTGTGTGCAGTTTTCCCCTTTACATTAATAAATATTTAGACTTTAATTGGAGAAGCCTGTCTCAGCGTCATCCATTGTGGGATTCCTTAGTCCTCTGGTATACATAACGGTACCCAGTCCCATGGGGCTTTGTTAGGACCCCACCCTTGCATATCTGAGCTAATTATAAATTCTCCTAATTAGATTCTTCCTAACAACTGGAAACCTCCACTTGTATCCTTGAATCTCCCCTTTCCTGCAGAATATTCCATTCCAGTCCAGAATGTCTGATCATTGATTTGGACTCTAGACATGTTGGGTTCAATGGAACATTCTGCAGGACAGTGACTTCTCTGCAAATTGTTGATTAAGGGAGATTCTAGCATACCAGTACTTTAGAGGACTCTGCTCTTTTCCCTTTAGAATACTACCACAGCCAAATTTGGTAGACATTTTGGATTTTCTGTTTAAATATGTTTTTATAGACATGCCCTCACTGATCAAGGAGTTTTCTGAGAAGATTTAAACAATTATTTAACTTGAAAATATTGGTCAAGTTTGATAAACTAATAAAATGACATATTTTATTGTTAGCCAGCATGCTGATAAAAGAAAGATCACATGATACCTGTTTAAACTGATTTTTTTTTTACCTGACGAGGTGAATGTCAAGTTAATATAAAGATCAATTTCATCCTCTTCACCTGTTTTGTCAACGACAGGTTCTTCATCCATCATAAAGAAATCCTCCAGGATCTAGTTAGTGAAATAAGGAAACAGAATTCAACCTGTTAACTTCCTCTAGGAGAGCAAGGAACCAAGTAAAAATCTCTTCCAAGGAAATTATTCAACAGCTTATTTGAAATCAATGTTTGAAGGTCCTAACCCAGGGGTAGGCAACCTTTCCCCTTTAAGGGCCAAGGGACT